TTTCTTCTTCCTTTTTATCTCTGTCTGTAATCCACAGGAAATTATACTTCACTGTCATTGTAGGGGTTGTTATTCTTCATCTTAAAATTGAATGCAGCATTTCAGATGTGATATGATCAATACTAAACAGACAAAAATTGTAACTTCTCCTTTACTAAGATTATTGTTAATGTCTCATTGGTATTGTCTCAGTGTTTATTAATATTTATTTGATATAATACATTTTATTCAATGTTTCTTTACATTCATAGCAATATCTAACTGCAAAGCTAACGTATATGTAGCCCAGTTTTAATTTTACTGTTATCTCAAATTATATTAAGTAATTGGGGTGCATCTATCTATCTATCTATCTATCTATCTAAAAGGCTAATATGCAAAGTGTCCCCTCGGGACTTTGGGAGTTCTATTGCTCACTATGATGTGCACTGACCAACGGGGTGGTGCAGAACAAAGGAAGGCCCTGGCCGGCAGCTGGCAGCTAGGGAAGAAAGGCCCCAGCTGGCATCCAGAAGGCCCTGATCGGCCCTGATTGCCGGTCAGGCCTAGGGACCCTACCCATGCACAAATTTCGTGCACCAGGCCTCTAGTTTGCTATAATCAGAATACCTATCAAATAGCTGCTTGACCCCTCCTCCCCACACCAGTGAAGATGAGTTTTATTTCAATTTGGGAGTGTTAGTGTTTGATATTGACCGGTCACCCAGATGACTAGATGACATATACTTCTTTCTTTACAGTGTCATTTCATAGTTTGCATAATTAAGAAACATTCCTCTGAAACTGGCTAGCTGGTTTGGAGGTAAAGCAGTTGTTTCTTTTCTTGTCAGTTTTCACCTCCTCAGCCCCAGGGGAGTCAGGATGTCCCATGTTATACTTAAGAGCCTGAGCACTTCAAACTTTTATTCTCCTGTTGGGTTTGAAAGGGGGACGTTATTAGCTCTGTCTTGATGTAGCAGGGGCTCTGAAAGTCTATTTGGATAACACTGAAGATTGGAGGAAATGTGACTCTGTCTGTGTGTTTTAAGCCCCTAAGGTAAGATCAGAAAGCGTCTGGGGCAGTGAGAGCCAAATAGTTGAAGTCATACATTAATTATGGTCATGAATCATTTTTATTTTTAAAGTCTTTACCATTTGACAAGGTTGTTTGCATAGTACCAGTGAGTTTTAGGCAGCATTTTCCCTCTTTTAAAGTAACAGGCTATTTTATTGATTTCTGTTCTAGGTTGATCTTGCCTATCGTTATTTGAATTATGCTAATACTTTTGATAAAAATAGTTTGTTTCCTTACATGAATGAGTGGTCTTTAATTTGTATAATCTTTGATTTTAATATATTATTTTTGAATTATAAATATAGAAAACTATCATGTTAATCTTTCAGTCTCCCACTGATCACTAAAAATAATTAAATCTGGGACTGTGCTTTTACATTCAGGCATTAGTTGATGTTCAGTCGGCAAATACATTTTGAGTGCCTTCTTTGTGCCATAGTCTGTGCTAAGTACTGGGAATGTACATGAAAAGAGATGTTTTTTTTCCTCAGAAAGATCTAATAAGGAAATAGACAAGGAAATAATAATTGTTTAATGTGGTTCTATAGTTGTTGTTTTTTTTTAAAAAATATTTTATTGATTTTTTACAGAGAGGAAGGGAGAGGGATAGAGAGTTAGAAACTGGAACACTTGTTCCAGATGGATACGATCAGCTGCCTCCTGCATACCTCCCACTGGGGATTTGCCTGCAACCAAGGTACATGCCCTTGACCGGAATCGAACCCGGGACCCTTGAGTCCGCAGGCCGATGCTCTATCCACTGAGCCAGACCGGTCAGGGCGGTTCTATAGTTTTTGTTAGTGTTATTCTGCTAGTATACATGGTACATAGAATTCCAGAAGGAGTTCCTCTGCCTGTCTGGAACAGTCTGGGATGGCCTTTGAATAGAGGTTATGCCTGAGCTGCCTCTTAATGGATTTAGGAGTGTGCTTACCTGTTAAAAGACAGGGACGTCTGGCATGGTACATGTGGGGAGCTAGGACAGCTCACTCAAAGGTACAGAAGCAAGAAATGACATGATGTGTTTGGAGAACTGTCGGTACTTAGGTATTGCTGTAATGTATTGTGCAAAGTAAGGGATATCAGGAAAAGAGGCTGAAGTATGCTGGGAGCACATCACAAAGAACATTTTCTTGCTTTTAAATTTCTTCAGAGCCACCTTTGTAAGAGACTGTTACGATCAAGAGCGTACACATACACCCAGAGCAAGAGGCAATACGATGGATTCTGTTGGATTCCTTAGGAGCTCTGAGGACATTGCAAAAACAAAACAAAACAAAACAAAAAAACTCATCTCATGAGCAAACTAGCTATAATAAGAGTTGCTCCCTTTTAGATGACCTAAGAAATCCTTAAGAACTGTCAGGCAACTTCCAAAAGTGCAGAATATGCCATGAATATTTTTAGTGCTTGGCATAATAATAATAATAATAATAATAATAATAATAATAATGATGATGTTGGCAGAGGTATTGGTGCCATCAAATTCCTAATAAATTAATATCATATATAGGATAACACTTAGGTTAGGATTGTTGACCAATTTTTAAAAACTGAGGTAAACTTTACATACAGTGATATGAATAGATCTTAAGTTTAAATTCCTTGTATACCCATGTGCCTCAATCAAGATACAGAACATTTTCCTCACCTCAGTTCTTTTGTTCTCCCTGGTCTCTACCAGTCGGTCCACCCCACACAGGCAACTAGTAACTCTTGATTGCTGTCACCATACATTACTTTTACCTGTTCTTGAACGGTGTATAAATGGAATCATACAGTATATTCTATTTTTTTTCACTCAACATAATGTTTTTGAGATTCATTTATATTGTATCAGTGGTGTGTTCTTTTATTGCTGAATGGAATTTCACTGTATGGGTATTATTAATTCTTCTGTTCGATGGACACTTGGGTTGTTTTCTATGGACAGTCTTATATAAACCTTCTTGTGGACATGTTTTTATATTTCTTGAGTAAATACTTAAGAGTAGAAATTCTGGGTCATAGTTTAGAAGTATGTTTAATTTTATAATGAATAGTTTTTCAAATGATAGTACTGCATACAAGTTCCAATTGCTCCATATCTTTGCTCCCATTAGATGTTGTCATTTTAATTTTAGCTATTCTAACAGGTGTGAAATGGTATTTCATTATGATTTTAATTTGCATTTCCATGATGACGAAGATGTTGAGCACCTTTTCCTGTGCTTATTGGCCATTCTTATGTCTTCTTTTGTAAAGCATTTTGTTTTTTTGCCCATTTTTAATTGGGTTGTGTTTTTTGTTACTGGTGTGTAAGAGTTATTTAAATACTCCAGACACAGCTTTTTGTCAGATTGATGTTTTGCAAATATTTTCTCCCAGTCTGTGGACTACTTTTACATTTTCTTAATGTCATCTTTAGATGAATAGACATTTTTTATTTTATTTTGGTAAAGTCCAGTTTATCCATTAAAAATTTTATGGTTAGTGCTTTTTGTGTCTTCTCTAAGAAATATTTGCCTACCCCAAAATTGTAAGAGATTTTCCTATGTATTCTTCTAGAAGTTTTATGATTCTAGCTTTTATATTTACTGCGATCTTCTTGAATTATTTGTGAGTGCTATGAGGTAGGGAATGAAATTCATTTTTTCCCTATGCTTATCTGGTGTTCCAGCATAATTTATTTAAAAAAAACTTTACTTTCTCCACTCATTTGTATGGGTTCCTTTGTCCCAAATCAATTGGCCATATATGTGTAGGTCTATTTGTATACTTTTTACTCTGTTCCATTGATCTATTTTTTTTATCTTTATGCCAGTACCACATTGTTTTGATTATATAGCTTTATAAAAAAGAAAGCCTTGAAGTCTGGCAGGTTTTAAGTTTGTTTTATCTTTTTTAGATTCTTTGTTTTTCTGTGTAAATTATTCTATCAGCTTCTTTAAAAAAATTATTTTTATTGATTTCAGAGAGGAAGAGAGAGGGAGAGAGAGATAGAAACATCAATGATGAGAGAGAATTGTTGATTGGCCGCCTTATGCATCCTCCCATTGAGGATCGAGCCTGAAAATGGGGCATGTACCCTGATCCAGAATCAGACTGTGACCTGCTGGTTCATAGGTTGATGCTCAACGACTGAGCCTCGCCAGCTGGGCTATCAGCTTCTTTATTTCCATCCAAAAAAAACCCCAGAGCCTTTTGGGATTTTGATTGTGATTGCAAAACTATTGACCCATATGTAGAAATATAACTGGAACTTTGTATATTTACCTTCTATCCTCTGACTTTTAGTTCTAGAAGTTGCCTTATAGATTTCTAATGATTTTCTACATGAAAATGTCATCTGTAAATGAAGACAATTTGACCATTTTTAATATGCAAATGTATAAGTAATACACAAACACACACTCACACACTATTGGAAGACAGAGACCAAGAAAAACCCAAACCTATGATTAAGCCAAAAAAGAAAATAGCTCGGTATTTTTTAATGTTGCTTGTTTCAATGTGGCTGCTATTTTAAATCAGTCTTCTTTAACTGAGGTCATTAATTTTTTTATGGATACCCATAAGTAATATTCACCCTTGATAGCAATGATGTTCTCCCGGTGACTTTAGCAATCCACTTAACTTCTCTTAGGCCTCAGTTCTACATCTGTAAAATGGTAGGATTTGACCAGATAATTTTCCAGCGTCTCTTCCAGACTCCTGTGAGTTCTTCATTTTAGCTCTCAACATGTCAGAGGCAGTCAGGCAGGTATAGAAAGGCTGATTTTAAAGCATATTGTGTTTCATTGTAAATACGCTAGAAAATTGTGAAATAGTCAGTTTGGGTTTATTATTAATTCTGTCTATCTTGGAGGAATTGTCCCCATTTCATTCCATTTACTGTATATCTGTGGTTCAGTGTTGAGAGTTTATAGTTAACTCACTTAAAATTTTCTACAACTTTTATTTCTAGGCTTCATAGAGCCCAGTGTGCAATTAAACAGACTCAGGTAACTGTTCAGAAAATTGGAAAAGAAATTGAAGAAAAACTAAGACTCACATCTACAAGCAATGACCTGGTAGGTTTTTAAAATATATTTACCTGTTTAATGTTCTTGATTTCTACATATAATCATCATATTCTTATAGTAATTTCCTTCTCCACCCCCCCCCCCCCAAAAAAACAACAACAACTTTAGGTAGTTTTTCTTTCTTTCTTTTTTGTCTTAATGTTTCACTGAGACTTCTATTGGCATTTAAATGTTGGCAATAAACTTTCACATCTGCTAATAATGTAACATACAAAGTGCCTGCCTTTTTCTGCTAGATGAAACTTTAGATTACATAGAAATACTTAGAAGATATTAAAAGCTACTTTATTAATGTCTTATAAATGTGAACTCTAGACATGAACTGTATAGTGAATGAAAAATAGCTGCTAGAAGAAAAACAAAAAACTTTAGACCTGCTTTAAAAGATGAATTTAAAATTATTTGGATTGACCTTAATAAGCTGGTTTATAGACAGTGTTCTCTTTTGGGAAAGATTCTTTTAATGAGGCATTTCCAAAAAAATAGAAATTTCATTCCAAATAGACAGATTTAAGATATTAGTATAATTATTGGTCTTTGTAGTGGAGAACAAAAATAATACTTTTGGAGTGAAGATTCTGTCTTTGTAAGTGGAATAGTGGTTATAATTAATAAATTGAGCTTTTTTTCAAAATGAAGCTACATGGCTATGGATAGCTTTTGATGAAAGTAGTTCTATGAATTATGATGCTTAAAAAACATTTAAATCCTAAATGAAGTCCTAACTAAAATTTTGTGAGTTATTTGTTTGCACACTATCAACTTGGCAGAAGGCCTTATATCATACCCAAACAGAAATTTCATGTTACCTTGAAGTTTTGTCCAAGATAATAATTTAATAGATGAGCTAGAAATGCAGCAATGCAGTTAACTTACACAGACTTCTCTCTCATGGAATCTGAAATTAATGGATGAAAACTTATTTAAACTGTATAAATTTGCTGATTTTGATCTATAAATGTCAGTTTCATGTAGTTCAGCCTAATATATAAAATGTCTAGTGCTGTACCTGGCACATAGCAGACATACAAAACATGGTAGCTGCAATAACTATAGTAATAATACTTTACTTACTTTCTTGCCTGTGGAAGATCTTTTATTTTGGAGGGGCTGTTAAACCACCTCTTGTTCAGTAAAGGACCAGATTCCAGGCCACAAGTATATTGGAGGAGGAGGAAAAACAGCTAATTTAATCCTTTCTATATCGTACAAAATGCCACATTTTTAGAACCTTTGGGGAGAAATTGATAGGTTTTATTTTTCTTATTTTTCCTCTTCCAAGTCAAGACTGGGAAATTACTTATTTTATTAAATAACTGCATATGCTTTGTCTCAGTAAGGGAAATGTATGTTTAATCCTATTTTTCTAAATGTAAGTGGTGATATACAGAGCAAGGTGATAGAATATACGAGTTTAAAGAGGTCAGGTTCAGAGGTTCACAGTGTGTTTTTACACTGCCTAATCAACCTAGAAGGAAATCATTGGATTTTTTTGAACCTGAAACTAGAAATTTTTTTGAAAGTGAACCTAGAAATCATCTAGTCCCCTTATAACCCCACTTAAAACCACACTCCCCTCAGTACATTCTGCCCCCTTCCTTGCTTTGTCTCCATAGTATTTATTATCCTTAAACATGCTATATGCCTTACATATGTATTTTGTTCGGCTGTAAACTCTGTGAGGGGAGGGAGTTTTTTCTGCCCCTCCACCCCATATTCCCCAGTGTCTAGGTACGTGTTTGATACATAGTAGCTTCTCAATAAATATTTGTTGAATTTAGGAACGAATCTAGTGTAGCCTCCTCTTATAAAAGGACAGGAAAAATGAGGCCTGAAGAAAGGAAGCAGTTTTCCCATATCATTTGACAAGTAAAGGAAGAAATTTTGGTTTGTCTCCTTGTAGGGAATAAGTCCGTGTACTTGTTAATGATCTACTTTAAGCTTTACCTGTAGCAAATTAGAAACTTTTAGTATTATCTCTTTTTTTTCGTTCCCTTTCCATATTGACCCAATGTAATCATACTCCATTCCAAACATTTTCAGTGTACAAGAATTAATTTTAATTTTAGCATAAGTAAAAATAGAGTCAGAAGACATATATGATGCTGAAAAAAATCAGACTATTTCCAAGATCAACTGTGTTATAAGAAATTGGGTTTATACTTGATGACTTTCAAAGATTTGGCATCTTCTCCCATTATGTCAATATCCAACATAATTTTTTGGCATTTAATTATGTTTCTCATGAAATTTCTGCGGTTGTCATCTGGAATTTTTACTTGTGTGTTTTGGATTTTGTCATATGCCTTTCCGGTATCTGTTATTTTATCTTTGATCTTTGAATGTTAATTCAAGTTCACATTCCTGGGAAAGCCCCTCTTGTTAATGATGAATTATTGTTTTTCTGGGTACGACTAGATTTAATTTGCTAAAAAATTTTAAAGGATTTTTGCATCTAGTATATTCATGAAGAATATTGGTCTGTGGTTTTCTTTTCTTGTAATCTTTTTGTCTGCTTTTGTTGTCAGAATAATCTTGGCCACATCTAGTAGTTGGGAAGGATTCCCTCTTCTGTTTTCTGGAAGAATATGTATAGAATTGGAATAATTATTAAATGTTTGATGGAATTTACCAATGGAGCCATATGGGTCTGGAGTTTACTTCATGGATTTTGAACTAGGAATTCAGTTCTTTAATACTTGTAGGGTTATTGAAGTTATTTACTTATTTTTTTGTTGGTCTTTACCCCAGGATATTTTTTCCCCATTGTTTTATAGGGGGAGAGAGTGAGGGAGAGGGAGAGGGAGAGGGAGAGGGGGAGGAGAGACAGAGAGAAACACTGATGTGAAAGGCACACATCCATTGGTTGTCTCCTGCACCCACCCTGATCAGGGAACCGAACCCACGACCCATCGGTACTCCAGTTGACGCTCCAACTACTGAGTGTACCCACCAGGGCATTATTTATTTCTTTAGTGATCTTTGGTAGTTTATGCCTTTCAAGGATTTGTCCATTTCATTTAAGAGCTCAAAAAATTATTTTAATTTCAAATAGGTGTGTAGTTTTTTTAGTTTTGTTTATAATTATACTAGAGACCCAGTGCATGAAATTTGTGCACCAGAGAGGGCAGGGTCCCTCAGCCCGGCCTGCGCTCTCTTGCAGTCCGGGAGCCCTTGGGGGATGTCTGACTGACTCCAGTGGGGAGTGGGCCTAAGCCGTCAGTCGGACATCCTTAGTACTGCTCTGAAGGTGGTAGAGGCTCCTGCCACCACCGTTGTGCTCGCTTGCCGTGAGCCCGGCTTCTGGCTGAGTGGCGCTCCCCCTGTGGGAGCACATTGACCACCAAGGGGCAGCTCCTGCATTGAGTGTCTGCCCCCTGGTGGTCAGTGCGTGTCATAGTGACTGGTCATTCTGCTGTTCGGTTGATTTGCACATTAGCCTTTTATTATATAGGATTGCTATAATGAGCATATTTTATATCTTTATTGGTCACTCATGTCTCTTAAGCAGTGTAGGTTTAAATATTTTTATTTTTTTAATAATACAAATATTTTTGCCCGTTAAAAAAATAAACTATTTAGATTTACAGAAAACTTGCAAAGAAAGTTTATAGTTTCCATACACGTTTCACCAGTTTCCCCTATATAACCATGTTACATTTAATGTGGTATATTTGACATGGTACATCATCACACCAAGAAATCAACATTGATACATTACTTAACTGTGAACTTTTTCCAGGTTTCCCCAGTGTTTCCACTAATATCTTAAAAAAAATACTTTTTTATTTTACAACAGTTTTAGATTTATAGAATCATTACGAAGATAGAACAGAGAGTTACCCTGTGTACCAGTTTCTCCTTTATTAACATCTCATGTGGAACATTTTCACAATTAATGAAACTGTATTGAGAAAGTATCATTAACTAAAGTTCATTCTTTATTCAGGTATCCTTAATTTTTACCTAATGTCCCTTCTCTCTTCCAAGATATTATTAAGGAAACTACTACTGTAGTCACACTTTCTTAGACTCTTCTTGGTAGTGAAATTTTCTCAGACTTTCATTGTTTTTGATGACTTTGACAGTTTTGAAGATTACTAGTCAGGTATTTTATAGAATATCCTGCTATTGGGATATATCTGATGTTTTGTCATGATTAGACTAGGTTCTAATGTCCTTTTTTTTGGTTCCACTATCCAGTCCAGGATTCCACATTGGATTTGGTCATCATGTCTTCCTAGGCTTCTAAGATCTATGATAGTTTCTCATTCTTTCCTATTATTAAATCACCAGGCCTAATCACTATTTATATTAACCTGATCACTGGTTAACATAGTATCTTCCAGGTTTATCTACTATAAAGTTCCCTTCATAAACTCAGGTTTTTGAAAGCATGATGCTATGTCCAACCTACACTCAAGAGGAGGGGACTTAAGCTTTATCTCTTGGACCTATACATATTATTTGGAATTCTTTGTGAGGAAGATTTGTTCCTTCTCTTCTTCCCCTGTCAGCTGTTTATTTATCCAATCATTTATCAGTATGGACTTGTATATATTTATTTTATCTTTAGGTTATAATCCAATACTATGTTTTTTTAATTTTCTTGCTCAAATTGTAGCGTTGAGAGCTTTTTCAAGTTGACCTCTGTGTCCTTTTGACATGCTTTCACCTCTTTTTGTTTGTTTGTTTTAAAGTACTTCCTTAATTTCTGGCATTATATGACTTTACTCATCTCGTATTTTTCCTATCTCAGGCCTAGAATCAGAAATTTCTCCAAAGAGTCCTGTTCCTTTCGTTGGATAATGGTATTTAGAAACAAGATCTGAACACTGGATGTGCTTGTTGCTACTGGATTGTAACTGTTGCTAGTCTCCCTCAGTGGACAGAGCCGATACATACAAGTATCTCTCTCTATATATTAAAATAAACGAGTTCATATGAATATATAAAACTCTAATGCGTCCTGGCCGGCTTGGCTCAGTGGATAGAGCGTCAGCCTGCGGATTGAAGGGTCCCAGGTTCGATTCCGGCCAAGGGCGCATGCCTGGGTTGCGGGCTTGATCCTCAGTGGGGGGCGTGCAGGAGGCAGCCAATCGATGATTGTCTCTCATCATTGATGTTTCTATCTCTCTCTCCTTCTTCTCTGAAATCAATAAAGAAATATATTAAAAAAACAAACAAACAAACCTCTAACACCACAAGGTTCATTCTAGCCTCCCCCGTCACTTTACTAGTATTTGTAAGTATCTTTTTCTGATAGTGAGAAACCTGGCTCCGATTTTCTACAATTTTTTTATTTTTTTCACTTATGGTATCCATATAGTTTCAGATTTCTCCCCCTCATTTGTAAATGGGATTTTTGTCTTCTTCTATTAGGGTGAGAGAGGTAGAGTTTTAGATTTATAGAATCCTTACAAAGATAGTACAGAGAGTTATTCCATATACCCCACCCCACCCAGTTTCGCTGTTATTAACGTATTACATGGAACATTTTTCGCAATTAAAGAAGCTGTATTGAGAAATTATCATTAACTAAAGTTCATCCTTTATTCAGGTTGGAGAGTGAGGGAGGGAGAATTTTTTTTTTCTGGATACAAGTCATTTTTTGGTATGTATGTTAGGAATATTTTCTTCCAGTCTGTGGCTTGCCTTTTTGTGTTTTTAATGATGTTTTTAAAAGAGCAAAAGTTTTAAGTTTGATGAAACCCAGTGTATGTATGTATGTATGTATTTATTTATTTAATGTGCCCTGCCAGGTGGCTCAGTTGGTTGGAGCATCATACACCAAAAAGGTTGAGGGTTTGATCCTGATTGGGACGTGTATGGGAGGCAACGGATCCGTTTTGCTCTCTGACATGGATGTTTCTCTTCCTATCTCTCTCTCAAATCAATAAACATTTGAATGAGGATAAAATAAAATTTATTTTCTGGCTAGAGTTCTTCGTGTTTTTTACAAGAAATCTTTGCCTAACCTAAAGTCATGTAAATTTTTTCTGGTGTATTCTAGAAGTTTTATAGTCCGGGCTCAGCATTTAGATCTCTGATCCATGTCAAGTTAGTCTTTCCCCATTTAACTGTTTTGTAATATTTGTCTAAAATAAATTGATTATGAGTACTAGAGGCCCAGTGCATGACATTTGTGCACTAGGGGGTGTGTGTGTGGGGGGGTGTCCCTCACCCCAGCCTGCATCCTCTCGCAATCTGGGACCATTCGGGATATCCGCCTTCTGGCTTAGGCCCGCTTTCCACGGACCTAAGCAGGCGGACATACCCCAGGGGTCCTTAGCGCTGCCAGGGAGGCAGTAGAGGCACCTGCCACCGCTGCTGCGCTTGCTAGCCATGAGCCCCGCTTCTGGCTCAGCGGCGCTCTCCCTGTGGGAGTGCACTGACCACCAGGGGGCAGCTCCTGCATTGAGTGTCTGCCCCCTAGTGGTCAGTGTGCATCATAGCAACCGGTTGTTCTGCCGTTCGGTCGATTTGCATATTAGCCTTTTATTATATAGGATATCAATTTCTGGATTGTCCATTTTGTTCCATTGATGTATACATCTATCTTTTGTTCCATTGATATATATAAATACTGTACTCTTGTTATTTTAGATTCATTGTCTTAAAACCAGATAGGGTAAGTTCTTTAACTTTGTACTTCATTTTTAAAAATTACATTCAGTTTTCCAGGTTCTTTGCATTTTCAAGTTGAATTTGAGAATCAACTCAGTTTCTACCAAAAAAAAATTGCCTGCTAGAATTTTGATAAGGATTTATAGATCAATTTGTAGAGAATTGCATCTTAACTATCAAATTCTGTAATCCATGAATACGGCATATCTCTCTTATTTAGATTTTTCTTTAATTCGCTAAATAATATGTTGTATCTTTCACTGTAGAGATTTTGTGCATCTTTTGTTAGAGTTATTTTTAAGTATTTGTGGGAGGTTTTTTTGGGGGGCATGATTACAAATGGGATTATTTTTGAATTTTTGTTTCTCTTTTGTTTGCTGCTGCTATATGAGAATACAATTTATTAAATTTCATCTTGTAATCTTGTTATATTAACTTTTTAGTTCTGATATTTATTTTGTAGATTTCTTGGGATTTTCAATGTAAATCATTGCACCTGCAAACTTGGACTGCTTTTTGTGCTTTATTTAATTTTTCTGTCTTATTTCAGTAGCTAAGACATATAGTTACAATGTTGAGTAAAAGTGGTAAAAGTGGAAATACTTTCCTTGTTTCTGATTATAGGGGAAGCCATTTCATTCTTTTTCCATTAAATACCTATAATGTTAGCAATGTCCTTTATTGGTTTTTGGAAGTTCCCTCTTATTCCTAGTTTCTGAGAGTTTTTATTGTGAATGAATGTTGAATTTTGTCAAATGCTTTTTCTGCATCTATTGAAATGTGATTTTCTCCATGATTCTTATAGTGAATTACATTGATTTAATTTCAAATGTTTAATTAACATTGCATTTCTTGAATAAAGCTGAATCAGTTGATATGTAATCTACTTTTGTATCTTGCTGGATTTGATGTAGTAATAATTTAAGGGTTTTATGCCTATATTTATTAGAAATATTGGAATGCAGTATTTTAAATTACTTTATCAGATTGGTATTAGGATTGTAATAGCCTGGTAAAATTATTGGGGCAGTGTTTCTTTTTCCTATCCATTTTGACTAGAAGCACAGACCTCCTGGATTTTAAACGTTTTTCTAGTACTCTGCCGAGATTTACTATCTTTTTATGCATTATGAGAATATTTTACTTATTTTTACTCAGCATCTTGAAATAGTGGCTTTAAAGTTTTTGTTTGATACTTTGAACATCTGGATCATCTCTGGTTGGCATATGTTTGTTGTCTTGTCCCTAAAGAGTAAGTCACATTTTTCTGGCTTTTCATATGCTGGGTAATATTGCATAGTATCCGAGACATTGTGCATATAATCTTGTGGAATCTCTGGATTTTGTTACTTTGCTCTGAAGAATATAGATGCTTTTACTAGTTAGTTAGTTAACTTGGTTAGGCTTAAAGTACACCCAACATTGGCTCAGATGTTAGTTCACTACTTTTACACTTAGGCACAATAAACATGCATGTTTGCCTCATGTATTTGGGGTGTAGGATTTAGTCAAAGAATCGGACTGAATTTAAACAGAATTTGGGTGCCTATTCTTGGCTTCCTTCATTCTGGTTGCCTTGATTGCCTTATCTTTTTCCCTTAGTTCCTGTGACCAGAAAGATAGTTATCTTTCTGCTGGAGTTTGACTGCATCCTCCCTCAGGGCAAAGCTACAGAAAAGGGGCACCAAGCCAGCGTGGCTCAGAGGTTGAGCATTGACCTATGAACTAGGAGGTCATGGCTCGATGCCCAGTCAAGGGCACATGCCTGGGTGGCGGGCTCTATCCCCAGTGTGGGGCATGCAGAAGGCAGCTGATCAAGGATTCTATCTCATCATTGATGTTTCTTTTTTTAAAATTTTTTTTATTGATTTCACAGAGGAAGGGAGAGGGAGAGAGAGAAACATCAATGATGAGAGAGAATCATTGATTGGCTACCTCCTGTACGCCCCCTGCTGGGAATCAAGCCTGCAACCCGGGCATGTGCCCTTAACCAGAATTGAACCTGGACCCTTCAGTCCGCAGGCTGACACTCAAACTAGCCAGGGCTCATCATGGATGTTTTTATCTCTCTCTCTCCCTCTCCCTTCTTCTCTGAAATCAATAAAAATATATACATTTTAAGAAGCCACAGAAAAGGGCAAATTCACTCTGCATGTTGATTGCCTGCACCAGGTTCTAAGTCTCCTCTGAAATCTGCCTGCCATTGATTCCAAAACTCTCAAGTGGTAGCTTTTTGTATTTTGTCTAGAATTTATAGCTATTATTTATGGGAGGACCAGTTTGTACTCATTCTCATATCAGAAGCAGAACTCCCGGACATCTTGTTATGATATACTTGTTGCTTTATCTTCCTAGCTGGACCTGAGTTCTAGTGCCACTGAATTTATGAAATTAATAGATTGGATTAAATATCTAAGGATGTTTCCCCCTTTCTTAGTGGTTGAATAGGTGTAGGGGTAATAGAAACAACTTAAAAAATGACAGAAGCAAATTTGTTGACTTATGGGACAAATGCCAACTTTTTTCAGATTGTTAATTACTTTCAATTTTTGTGGGAAATCTAATATAGATGATTATGCCCCAATTCGCAAACCTTTTGTCTTCAAGACCTCTTTACATTCTTATAATTTGTCAAGACCTCAAAAACTTATAGTATATCTGTTGATAATGTCTAGGTTAATAAAAGATCAATAATATTTCACACTTACTTCTGCAATCTATCTATTGTGGTATCACAAATCTTATAGACTCTGGAACACTCAGTTAAAAGAAAATGAGAGTGAAAAACGAGATAATGGCTTAGTATTATGAAAATATTTTTGATGTCAAAGACTATAAAATAGTCTTAGGAACTTTCATTGTTTTCTGGACCATGCTTGGAGGACTGTTGTTGCCTAACGCTTTTTAGCTCCAGTGGGATCTGTGAGAACAAAATTGTTTCCTTTAATATATCATTGGTCTGTCATTCTGAAATGAATCTTTAACCTTGCCCATCACTGTCTCTGTAAAGACCCATATTAGGAATGTGTGTGTTTGCAAATAGATGAATGCATCTATGATTTTCAGGTCAGTGCTTTATAAAAATACTAAAATCCAATTAAAAGAGATTCATTGGAGATGCACATTTGACACTAACTATACTTGGAGTAAACAGATAAATAGAACACACAAACCCGTTAGAAGATACTTATGGAACATTAAGATATTTGAGCACTTGCCTTAGATGCAGTAGAAAGGATCAGAACCAGATCCCACTTGGTCAGGGTTTGTTTACTCATCAGAAATTAAAGCCAACAATCCTGGTTTTGAATGACTTGATATATTTTTGTAAATGGGCCAGTTTCTGCACATGGACCATAACACAAACACACTATACACATGCCTTCTTGTATTAGTTTAGTATTTAGAGTAACTTGTACCCTCAGTTCTTTGATTTTAGAAAACATATCCTAATTGTGTGTGTATGCTGGAGTAGTAGAGCAGATTGGCATATCTTTGTGTTCTCTGAAGAGCTGTCTTTTCTTATATTTTCTCCCCTGTCCTGGTAGAGTTCAGTTTATATATTTTGTAGAAAAAGTCAAGTTAAGGAAATTAAACACTTACCTCTTTGTGGAAAAAGATTGCTTCTTAAGAATTTACATATTTATTTCCTCAGTGATCTAAAAACACCTAGGGCTTCCTGATCACATTATTGACAAGAAACAAATTGCTCCTTGATTCTTTTTTCTTTAATGATAAGCCATCTATTTGACTTTTGTCCGTTTTTACAGTGGGTTGGCAGAGTAAAATGGCTTTTGTCTCCAGTAGACCCAAGCTCTTAGAAAGCAGAAACCATTTCTTATTTATCTAGAAGCACATAGTAGGCACTTCATTAAATGTTTGCTTTGTTCAGGAGAAATTGATTAGGAACATTTTATATTTCCTAGAGTTTTCCTGTCAAATAGAATAATGATAATTGGAAATAAGCTTCTCTGCTTGTTTTCTTGGCTTGAATGTTCTTAACAGCTCATGCCATCTGTTTAGAATCAGTATTTCAGAGATGAGGAAGAAAGCATTTTGGGTGAGAAATGATAGCTCTAAAGTACTTTATATACAACTGCCAAAAGTCATTTTCCATGCCCATTCCTTAAACAAGGCCATACCATTACTCATCTTGCTGAGTGCCCATGATTCCTCATTGTATGCGAAT